TATATATAGATAGATAGATAGATAGATAGACAGATAGATTGTTAGATAGATACTGGTTCTGTAAGATCAGATTATATAATGAACTAAAACAAACTGCGTTTTACTATTTTACTAATTTTACCCCTGAGAGTGCAAGTGGACTACAAAATGACCTACCCTCCGGGACAGAAAATATTCGTTCTAAAAAGATAATAAGCGTGTTTTTTTATAGACATTGCTACCGAAGCTGTTTTAAAATCTAGAAGCAAAAAACAAAACTCCACTTAGTTTCTTAAATTATAGTATTCAAAAAAAGAAATCTTCGCTCTTCTTTTTAAATATAAAACACGTGACTCGGTGCACAGAAAAGGGTTTCAAACACGCTCTTATTTATTTTAATGATTTATAAAATTTGGTATTCCAAACAAAATACCAATGAAGAATCATGGATCGTATCATCTTTGTACGGCAAGAGATCTTACCAGTCGTTAGTGTTTGAGCGGTTCATCTGATGCTTGCACTTTATTATGCTTCCCGGAATCTGAGAATGTTTGTTTCTGTGTACCCTCTAGGGCTTTCTTGGGTAATAGCAGTTGTAAAGCGCATGAAGTCTGCCGTACAGCATGGCTATGCGCTAAATACATGAAATTATTGTTAATATTAATATTATGATGACAAATTAACTTGATTCGACTCACTGAACAGATCACAGACTACGTGAATACACGAGAGATTGGGGAGCCTCGGTTCAAGTATGTGGCAAACATGCACGGTGAGAAAATAATACGAATGAATGAATAAATGAATAAATGAATGAATGAATGAACGAATTGCCATGTACTTGTGTTGACAACAAGTTCATCGATGTAAATTCTTTCTCTAACGTTCTCTCTCTCATTTTCATTTTTTCTTTTTCTTTTTCTCTCTCTTCCCCCCCCCTCCCCTCTTTCTCTCCACCAAATTCTTGTTACCTGACAGACTGGTTGTCCTCTAAGTCTCTCTCTCTCTCTCTCTCTCTCTCGCTCTCTCTCTCTCTCTCTCTCTCTCTCTCTCTATGTCTCTCTCTGTCTATCTGTCTGTCTGTCTCTCTCTCTGTCTCTCTCCATCTCTCTCTCT